AAGGAGAAACATTTTCTGGACTACCATTGTTACCATTATCAATGTCCATGGAAATTTGGGAGACACATCCTTCAAACACTTTTTCTTCACTTGTACTCTTAATCATTTCTTCTTTAGCAACAATCAACATATGTATTAGATCAATTTGGGTCACGTCATGGTCAGTCATATAGTACTCTTTAATGAACTGACTATATGATTCAGGAAGTGAAAATAGAACCAATTCAATGACTAGCTCCCTTGGGAAAACGACACCTAACATTCCCAATATGTCAATGTATGATTTCATGTTTAGAACATCCGCACACAAATACTTTCCATCTTGATGTTTACATGCTAACATGGCTTGAGTGACTTCGTATTTTTCAGCTAGAGGGAAACATGACTTAGGGAGAGTCGTTAGAGGATGAGGAAGAAGAAGAATTGAAGAAGTATGACCTCCATTTCCACTATTTGCAGAAGAAGAGAACACACTTTCACCTTGGCCAAAATATGGAAGATCATCTTCAGAAGGAAGAGGAAAAACATTTCCAGAAGAACAAGGAAGACCATTGTTGTCTGAACTTGACATCTATAATAGGAGAAAAGAGAATTCACGTTAGTTTATTTTAATCCTTAGTTATTAAACCAAAAATTTAAATTAAGGCTAGGATCCATATTTTCATTCAGAACTTTGAAGAAGGAGGCCGTAATCAAATTCGAATCTAATTTAGGTAGGTAAAGCATTTACCAATTTCAATCTTATGAAACTCCTAGATCATTTGAGATTCATTGAATCTAATCAATGGCATGTTTAATATCGATTATCCTCTCACTTTTGTGACTGGGATGCCAAGGATCACAAACCATATGTTAATAACCATGCAAATTAGCTTTGTACTCTCGATGTCATTTATCATCTCCTTTTAATGTGTTGGTTAACCACACACGCTCCATTAAACAACGACACTTTTCAAGACACCTATTACCACCCTTTATTAGTCCCATGTTAGTGTGCCGGTTATTCGAATGTGCTCCACCAACGACTTATAAAATGTATTGTGCAATTTCATGGATTAACATCGAATTCATATTTTTCCTAAAGTAACTAAGAGTGAGATTTTATAGAATAGTTTAATTACTTTTCATCATTATACTTTTAATGAGGTTATGTCCTAACAAACCCGTTCGACTGACGACTCTCCACTAATCAAGGGAGGGGTGGGTAAGATTGGATACCCAATGGTTGTCATTTTGTAGATCGCTTTCTTAAACTCCCCTTATAGATCGGCTTCATGAATGAGGTGTACTAATGGTTCGATTGACTTAGTCTTATATATATAGTAAATATTAAACATTTAATTTTACATATAGTATAAGGTGTATTTGAAAATATTTTTAAATTATAAAGTTTAATCTTTTAATAAATTAAACTTTTAATGTAATTAAATTTAAACCATCTTATGGATTTATTGATTATCTTTTAATTAATCATTTAATTAACCTAATAATAAGATCCATAAGGATGTATTTTAACATTTTCAAATGACTAGGGTTTTTAAATTTTAAATTTAAATTTCGAAATTAAAGGGAACTTAATTTAAATTGAAAACTTAAAAACAAATGATTTAATAATTATCTTATTAATTAAACATATAATTAATTTCTTAAATAAATTGAGCATCATCCAATTAAATTAATCAATATAATTTAGTCTAAATCCTCTCCCGCAAATTTTTCGAAAATATGGGAGGGATAAAACAAATCTTATAAGACAAATTAAATTTCTTCCTACGTTTTATACCTACAAATATTCCTACCCACTAATATTATTACAAGTGTTACCATTCCATATTTTTTAAACTATCTCCTTAAGAGTATATCAGGAATATATCAAATCAAATTAAACTGAATGGTTAAATGATGACATGTGTCATAATGTTAGTGGGTAGGAATATTTGAAAACATAAAAAGTACGAGGCAATTTAATTTCTCATCTTACAGTTATGCAATTAATCAAATACAGAGATAACTACCATAAATAAGAAGATCCCTATCAAAATCCTAGTCTTTGAAAATGCTTATCTTGGGGAAGAAGGCAAGAGTTTCAATCCTTACCAAATTTCAAAAATATGGAGGATTAAAGAAACCCTAAATTTCGAAACTTGTAGGGCAAGGGAAAGGGTTAAAAACCTTTCCTAATTTTTGAAACTTAGGGCTTAAGGCATACCTAATTTCAAAAATCCCTATGTTCAAAAAGGTTTAATTGCCATAAACCCTAATTGATTAAATTCAACAGTTGTCATCAATTCAATAGAAAACAAGTCAAGGCTCTGATACTACCGATGGGTTTTGAGCATAACAAACAAAAAACCTATGTGCATGCAAACCTAATTTCCCAATTTATGTTTTCTCTAATTGAACATTCAACATTTGAACATCAACTGGGACACCATAGGCATCCTATACTATTTTTGAAATTTATATCTACGGTTACAAAACATACCATTGATTGTTATTGATGAATAACAAGAAACCCTTGTGTTGTTTAAGCTTAGAGAGTAAGCGCCACAAATGTCGTGCCTCTAGCGGTTCACACCCAACACTAGCAAGAAAATGAGAGAGGAGAGAGGAGAAGGGAAAATCGGTTTCCTCTTAGGCAAGGGACAACCAAAAATATGAGGGGTTATGCCCTTTATATAGGTGAACTAGCTTAGAGACAAAGCTAGAATTTAAGGAGGAAACCCTAACCCTTTAGCTTAAGAACCAAATAGCCCTTGGACGACAATTAGAGAGCCTTCCTAGAAGTTTTCATCCAACCTCTTCTAGGGAGGTTCTAGAGCCTCTTTCCTCAACTATCAATAAATTGCTAAACAACTCCTACACTTTTAATTAATTCTTTTCATCCCGAATTTAATTCCAATTGATTTCTCATAAAGTAATAAATAAATATTGCTATTACTAATTAATATATTATTCTCATAACATATTAACAAATCATTTATTTCAATTTATTAATCAAATAATAAATTCAACCTCTCTCTCTAAAAGTCATCCTGTCTAGTTGCTAGTTTAGAGGGAAACCCAAAAGGACTGTGTGCTACTATCAATTTAAGTATATACGAATTATAGTTATGGGCTTAGACACCTAGTCCAACAATTACTTAGTCACCAAGAAAAAAAAAACTAGGGTTCAAACATATTTTTTCCGATCGAACACTAAGATCAGGCAACCAACCGACAATGTCATCCTTGACGCCAAACCCTAATAGACTCTACCCTGTAGTGGAGCTCAACTTCAAAGGTGTATTTCTTTGAAATCCTTTCTCATAAAAACATGGTATGAAATTCACATTCAGTGATCATGATTTTTCTAGAATGACATACTATGAATGTATCACCTTTCTTAAACGGTTCATGCAAGAAAGTATAAAGAAGTTATACTAGTGTGAACCAAAAAGCCCTTATTATCTGGTGGTGTAATTTCCCTTTTATGTGGACCATAATGGCCATGGAATAAAGGATTGGTTTGGCTCTAATATAGAAGAGGAAGAATATGGTGACAATTCATGCATGGATGGTGGTGAAAATGAAGACAAAATTGAAAATCTTAGAGATGTGGAGGTGGAATTAATGAGGATGAAGTCACTATGAACATAACAAAGGGTGATGATTTCCTGTCTGAATTATATGGTTAAGATGAAGAAGGAAATGATAACAACATAGGTGATGATACTGATGGGAGTGAAGAGGAGGCAAATGTAACTCAACAACATTCGATTTTTAATGAGTCAACTCCATGGAAAAAAACAGTACCCAATACTTGGTATGAGATTCAAAGATCCAGCTCAATTAAAATCTATGTTATGCAACTAATTTTTTGCTAATGGGTACTAACTTTTCTCTGAGAAAAATGATAAGAAAAGATTGTTGGTTAACAGTTGCAAGGGTGAGTACACATTCAGGTTATGGGCATCTTGGATGAGTGATGAATCAAGCTTCCAAATTAAGTCTTTAAAGCTAGATCACAAATATGCAAGGAACTACAAGTTAGGGTCTATGGCCACTTATGATTGGATAGGGAGTCATTATACAAGAGAGTTATTACTTATACAAAAGATGAGTGTTAGAAAGCTTAGAACAGCTGTGTCATAGAAGTTTGGTATTCATTTAAGTGTTGGTCAATGCAGGAGAGCTAAGAAATATGCACTCCAACTAATATACGGTACCCTAGTTGAACATCATGAAAAGTTGCGGTCATATACATAAGAGATTAGGAGATCAAATCCATGTAGTACTGTGAAGATTGATGTAAATCATATGCCAGATGGGAAGAACTACTTTAGTAAGTTCTATGTTTTTTTTGATGCATTATAAAAAGCGTGGAAGGAGGGATGCATGAAGAAAATAGGTTTAAATGGTTGTTTCCTTAAAGGGATATGTAAAAGGGACTTTTTAGGTGCTATTAGAAAGGATGAAAAAAATAGGATTTATCCCATTGCATGGGCAGTAATATGTATGGAGAATAGGGAAAATTAGAAGTGGTTTTTAGATCTACTCATTGATGACTTAGGTTATGGAGATAGTGTTATATCAGATCAACACAAGGTAATTTACTTGTTTGTAATTAATTTCCCTTTCTAGTTGCATCCTTATTCACTATAATTTCTATTTGTTAATAGGGTTTGATTGAGGATGTAAAAAAACTCCTTCCATATGTAGAGCATAGGCAGTATACCAAGAATATTAGCCAAAACTTAAGGAAAAGGTATAGTAGTTCCTAATACGAAAGCATATTCTGGAAGGCCTATAAAGCAACTACATAGGTAGATTTTAAGGCTTCCCTAAAAGAACTTGAACTGCTAGACCCAACTGCTCATAAGTATTTGATAGACAAAGACCCTAAGGTATCATCAATAGCCTACTTCAAACTAGGAAGATGATGTGATGATCTAGAGAATAGAATTTCAAAAAGTTTTAATGTTGTGATAGTTGATGTTAGGAAGAAACCAAATATCACCATGTTAGAGGATTTAAGGATGTATATGATGGAAAGGGTGTTCATCATGAAAGCGAAGGGTCAAGGATGGGGCAACCAAATCTGTCCAGCAATTAGAGAATTAGTTAATGAAATTAAGAAATCCCAAAGACATTACCAAGTGTTACCTAGTGGATTAAATCAGTTTGAAGTAAAAGGAACTAGAGATGCTTATGAGGTGCATCTTGAAAGGAGAACTTGCTCTTGCAGTCTATGGCAACTTAATGGAATGGGTTGTGTCCATTTTATTGCAGCCATGAGTTATATGAATAGGGATGTAGAGTCATATGTGGACAAGATCTTTAGTAGCATCACTTATATGAAGGCATACAAGTTTAGGTTAACACCTATGAATGGAAGTAATTTGTGGCCTACAAGTGAGTACACCCCACCTTTACCTCCTATTCGTAGAACTTTATCCGGGAGACCCGCAACTAAAAGGAAAAAGGATTCAATGGAAAACCAATCAAGTAACAAATCAAAGAAGAGTAACCAAACACAAGGCAATGATGTGTTGTAGGAAAAGGTATCCAAGGCTGGAAAGAAACAAAAATGTAGTCTTTGTAAGCTTGAAGGACACAACAAACGAGGTTGTACCCTTGTAAAACAGGAAAGTTAGTATTTAGATGGGTATGCCTTTACAAATTTTTTTATTTCCTAATATTGTTTGATATGGGTCAATCAGGGTGGAGAAGCAGTTGATGAGCTTGATCAAGCAGTCAATGAGGGTGGAGAAGCATTCAATGAGGGTGAAGACAATGTCAATGTTAGTGAGGTGCATGTGCAACAAGATTATGATGAGGTGGAACTCACTCCAATTGCAACCTTTTTGAATAAAATCAGATGGAAGAAATCTGAAACGATTTTTCAAGTTGAAGCTGGGCAAGAGAGTTGGTGATGAAGATGCACCTGGGAATTTAATATCTAAACCTTTTAGTCTAGATTAAGTCAAAATGTTGGTTTTTGTGAAATGAACTTGGTATGAAGTATGAAATTATGTTTTTAGGTGTACTTTAATTTGGATGTGATATGAATGGAACTTGATGTGAACTATGGTTGTTTGTATGAAACTATGTTGGTTTATGTGATGTGGAATGTGTATTAAGTAAGTTGGTTGTTATTCTGAGTTATTGTTGTGTTATTTGTAAATTGCATGCATGACAAGGACTTATGTGGTTAAACTACATGGCAAGGACATATATGTCTAATTTAAATTGACACATATTATGTCCTTATATACTAAGTGTGGTCCATATTTCCTTCTTTTTGCACAAAAGGGACCCTACACAGAAATCACTTAATTTATAAATGGACCAACTATGGTCCATATGGCAGATAATGTGGTTCCTACAGTTCAATTTTAAAAGGAGTACATGCATTTCATTAAGTACAGAAAGGTAGGGGTGAGCATAATAACCGAAAAACCGAACCATAACCAAATTAACCGATATAACCGAACCATAATAACCGAACCGTTTTAAAAACCATTGGTTCGGTTTCTAATTTTTGTTAACCAATAACAAACGATTCGATTATGGTTTTATAGGTTAACCGAACCATTATTAACCGAACCGCTAACTTTATATTTTAATACATAAAAATTATGGATTATATATAAAATAATATTGTCAAACTTATTTAAGACCCATTAAAATTTCAAAATATAATTCATTAATCCTCAATTATCAGGAGACGAACGTGCAACCAAACCATCAAAGGATGATCACGTAGATCATGCAGACACACACACTTTTTCAGTCATGCATTGAGTTAATTATTGATTATTGCTATAATTCTTAATCGGCTAATTCTATAATTTGTAAAGATTATTCACAATTAGTTTAATCTTCACACTCATAATCCTAATCAGAGATTTTTCACACCGTTAATCATAATCAAAGATTGTTTTGACTTTATAGTTCTATTCTAAGGATTTTTTTAATTTATAATCAAAACTTCTAGGTAACTTAAGTTTTTGGTTCTTCTTCACTTTCTGATATATTAAGAATGTATTTTTTTAAAATTCTTTTTTTTTTATTTACTGTTTTTGACTTAATCACATTAAATGTATATGAGTGATTGTTTTTTTTTTAATCCAGATAACACGTAATATAAATGTTTAGCTATTTTATTTTATAGTTTTTGATTTAATCACATTGAACGTGTATGAATGTTTGACTTTATTTTAATGTTAATATCGATTATTAATATATGAAGTTATTAATGTCGATTTTTTTTAATGTTTTATACTTTTTATTAAATGTTTTTGATTTTGAATGTGACTATGTGTTATCTCACAATGAGTATCAAAGATACACATTTTATTATAATATTATAAGCTAGGTTACAAACATTGATACCGATGACTTTTTGTATTCTCTTTTCATTTTTTATACCACTATACTTTCGTCATTTATATTATTTTGAGAATTATGGTTAACCAATATTAACCATTAATCAAAACCGTTAACCGACAAAAACCATTAACCATAACCAATATTAACCATACCCAATGGTTACCAAAATGCATTAACCAATCATAATGGTTATGGTTCGGTTTTGAGCAATAACCGAACCAAACCGCCCCATACACACCCCTACAGAAAGGTATATAACTAACAACTTGGATCTTTTATATCATTCATTGAATTTACAGAAGTTCATACAACATTACGCATCTACTGCCCCCAATACAATTGTTCCCAAACTTCCAACAACTATATCTACCATACATTCCAAATACACAACTATATCAAACAAGCATTCTTCTGCAAACCTGACCATATTTAATAACTGGGATCTAACCTTTAACCAATTCATCCAAAAACAAATTAGCTTTTTACCTTCCTGGTCATCTACCCATAAAATATTCAAAATACTGGTTGAAATTTTATACCATCAACCATAAATACCTTGTTTGATCATGTACACTTCAACCACATCCCAATGACTAAAATGAGCAAAAAAATATAATACACTTAGCAGTTCCAAGGTAAGTCTTCATCACAATGTTTTTCTTCATCAACTCTATCAACTGTCTCTTAAATACTTCCTTCTTTGCGTTCATAGCTTGTTGCACCTGTATCATCTTCTTTTGAGCCTTCGAAACTTCACTGAAATCTTCCTTTTTGTGCACCTCAAACCTCAACTTACGAAGCTGCTATTTGTAGTACCCCTCCTCCCTTGTAGCGTCTTTCCACATAAAAAAACTTACATTTTGGACCTTCAGGTGGCTGATTAAAACGGAACACGAGTATGATTAAGGAAAATGTGTACATTTCCAGTTCAAGATACCAAATAAAGGTGTAAGTAAACAGAAGGAATACTCACCAAGGATATTTTGTAGTTCTAAAACCTTTGAGTTACGTTGTCGCCCGTTCAGCCAGTCCTTTCCACGCTTATTCCGTCTTTACAGTGACATGGTGGACATGCTTCATCATCACGATGGTTTCCGACACGCAAGAGGTTGATCGATCGATCGGATGATGCAAACATTGCTCTGGTTATATCGATTGATTAGAGGGTATCGGAGTAACCTAATTTGGGGTAAGAACGTATCATTTTTTGTTCGATTGAGGGTTCCATTTAAGGAAGGTTTCCACCATATATAATGACATAGTTAACTGGTAGTCTACATAAGTCAATACACGTCAGCAGTGACCCGTAAACCGGATATATTTTCTCTAACTCCCTTAATTAACTGGTATTTATTAACGTTAAGGACCAATTTAGCAAAAAAAAAAAACATGAGTGACTAAATGTACGAATTACCAAAACATTATTGTGTTATGATACCAAAAACCCTATATGTTATTATGTTAACATGTTTTATATTTATACAAATATGATCACAAAAGATTAACAAAAAAAAATTACATTTGCATGCGACGGGTAAATACAAACTAAGAAATGACATATTAGGGAAGTGGGTGTAAATCTCACATTTGCTTGAGACTAAAAAAGAATAAAAAAAAGTGAGATCCGGAACATTTTGTTTAAATCAAATAAATAAACTAATAGCTACAAGGCAAAAAAAAAAAAAAGCAGGCTCTACACTTGAGATTCTCAAATTGGTATTAATGGTTCGATCCGTCTCGTACTCATCCTAAGTGTGACCCAACGTATGTAGACGTTCCTCATTTTGATCGAGCGGATCACTATGCTTGAAGTGGAATATCGGTCTGCATGCACGAGTCAACTTAATCGTCTGTTTCGCTAGATGACACGTCTCCAACATCATTGCTAAGTGAAAAATACGATATGATGGGCTTCTTAACAAATCATATAGTTTAACTTCATGGTAATTTCGTAGTATGTATCAGTGAAATAGTATGGAATTGATATTTTATAATTAAGTGAAAATTTAATAACGAGAAAAAGGAGAAATGCATAAAATTATAGTATTACATACTCTTAGAAAGGAGTTAATATATATATATATATATATATATATATATATATATATATATATATATATATATATATATATATATATATATATATATATAAGAGAGGCAGATAATACATAATTGCCATCCATAATTAGCATACATCTATAATTAGTTAATTACTAGATAGTTACATGATCTTACCTATCAACGACTCACTAATCAACACATAATCAGTTATAATATCCATATGAGCTGAGGCTAAGTTCAAGTGAAGTCCGGCCATCGGAGCGAAACCAATTTCCTCCGGTATAGCAACCTCCATTACTATGCTCTGACATCAACGGCGACTCCACAGCCACAGGCGCCTTCATGTTGATGATGTCATGATGGCTGCCTCCCATGGTAGCGCCACCGTTGACTGGAAAGAGAGGAAGAGTCTCCATCTGGGCTGACAACTGTCCTCCTCTGTCGTCGTCTTCCTCCGGTGCTTCATACTCCGGCTTTATCTTCTCGTAAGAATACGAATCACTTCCCACCCATGACCCAAAATTCTGACTTGTTCCTCCGACGACCCTAGATTCTCCTTGTGATATAGAACACTCCTACATACATTGCACATATTTTTCAAGAAATTTTAGTTTTTATAAGTGTCAAATGCTTTTCCGTTGTTCTAGAGAGTTTGAGTTCAATACTTTTCCGATAATATACAAGATTTAGTTAAGAAAATAAGAAATACAAATACCCAAAAGTTTTGGTCTAAGATTAATTATTACAGGAGTTCTTTTTCCATTTCGTAAGTTTCGATCAATGGTGTATGCATGCTATATGCATATATGTTTGTGTAGTAATACCTTGAAACTCTTTTCCATGGCGACAGATCCATAGCCATACCCAACAGGCATGAATCCCGTTGAAGAAGAACCTCCCTCTGTAGAAAGAAAATCTGAAATATGTAAATAAGTCGACATGAAATATGCTATGTGAAGGTGAAAATTAACGAGCAAAATACAAAATTTAGACAAATATAAACACAATGGTGGGATGCGACAAGTACCCGAAGGTGAGATTTGATGAGTGGTGTAGAGCTTGTGTTGTTGGCTGTAGAATTGAGGTGGGTGTGTGGGTGGGTGGTGGGAATTAACATGCATGTGGTGATGGTGATGGCGGTGATCGGAAAACGGAGATGGGAGGAGGGTGGCGGTGGAAGGAGGAGGAGGTGGTGGAGGCGGAGTTACAGGTACCGGGGTGAATCTTTTTTTCTGTCGTTCACGAGCTTTATGGTTCTGAAACCAATAAAACACATTTTTGCCTTCGATTTTCCCATAATGTCTTAAACGAGCAGCGATTCTCTGAATCTGGTCAGCAGTTGGTGACCTGATTCCATTGTTGTAATAAAGTTCTTTAAGTATTCGAATCTGGTCGCTTGTGGGTGTCCACCTTGTACTACTTTGCCTACATAAATAACTGGTATTGTTTTTGTTTCCTAAATCTTGTTCTTGTTGTTGAG